TTTCACTTGTTTGAGTTCTTCAGGAAAGTTGCCCGGAATCTTTCCCAGAGACATAGACATGCACTGTAGACTCCTGTATAAGAAAGCAGAAAACTTGATAAGCACCAGGGAATTTAGAAGTGGTATTGGACAGATACCATCACTAAACATGGGAATTAAATAAAAATAATGGACTTGAAATAAAAGATTGATATTGGAAAAAAATGTTCTGCTCTATAAACTCCAGAAACAACTAAATGAATCCCACGGAGATTTAGCTGATTTCCCACAAGCTCTAAGCCTGTGTCACTCCATATCATCCCTAAATAAAATCCACTCCCCCCTCACGCCCTCTTCCTCTGGAATCATGTCAGCACAGCACACCTGCCAAAACTCTCCTCAGAGCAGGTGCACCCTGGCAGGCAGAAAGGCTGAGCTGCATGTATATCCCCAAAGACTAGAACTTGCAAGAAGCAGTAAAAAACAAAAGCCATATTTATCTGTAGGCGATGCCGTGTGTGTTTTGGGTAGGTATGGTCTCAGCTTCCGAATAGCAAATCCTATTATTGGTAATCCATGAAGAAGTAGGTCAGCACGGCCTCACTAGAGCCCTGAATACTCTGAGGTCTGTTACAGTCCAGCTCCCAGGCTTAGGCTAAGCCCATGTGGAAGGAGTTGTACCTGTTAACGAAAGTGAGAAAGTCCACCAAGCTCTGCTTCATGAGTTTGGAAAGAGAAGTATAGGTCAGACATCAAGTTCTATTTCTTTTCTACCTTGTCTCTTACAGAGTCCAGGGAAATAATTAGGTGTTGACATCCTGAGCACCACCACTCAGGAGTTGGCTAGAATGCATCTCAGTTCCCAGTTCACAAATAAGCCCCCAAATTCCAAAACAGATGATGAGCAACAAAGCAGTTCTGTGATTATGCCCTTGCTTGTTGTCTGCAAGCACCATGGGTAATGTGTTTGCTCATCCTTCTACTGCATTATGACAGCCGTTTCTGCAACTCACATAACCAGAATCAGAGATACATCGTGGGTACCCTTTCACACAGAAGTTTAAAAACACAAAGCCAAAGCTGTGAGGTCTGGGGCAAGAAACTTCATTGCATATCTTTCCCTTGGCTTTTCCAAAACAGGCCCCACACCACAAATAGCAAGTCTCAAGCATGCAAATGTCATCTATGGTAGGCCATATTACTCTACCACTCTTCACCTATTGACTATTTATTGTTTATCCACTGTAAGCTATGTTTGCCAGGCTCAATGGTAGTGAGAAAAACTCGTTGTAGGTATTTCCTCATTTATTCTTCTTTGTGTTTATGCCTCTGAGTCTGGAGGTTTGGAAGATATCTTCCTTCCTTCCTTCTTTTTTCTTTCTTTCTTCCTTTTTGGTTTTTTCAAGGCAGGGTTTCTCTGTGTAGCTTTGAAGCTTATCCTGGCACTTGCTCTGTAGACCAGACTGGCTTCAAACTCACAGATATCTGTCTTCCTCTGCCTCCAAGTGTTGGGGTTAAAGGCATGTGCCACCAACACTTGGTCTGGGAGATATCTTTTAATCTGTGAGCCTGTTTCTCCTCTACAGAATGAGAATATTAACAAACATCTCACAATGTGTCCAGAGATGCCCAATAACCTATCCCTAATAATGAAAGAGTTTTTAGATGAGCCAAAGTATCAGCTCTCTTATTAATTGGGGACACTTCAAGAAAATACCAAAATTCCATGGGTTCTTGTAAAACTCGTAATATACATTATACCCTACAAAAGGCTTCAGTGAAAACAAATCGGCTCAGTAGCTAACCAGTGAGGGGAAATGGGTCACCAGCTAAGCTGCTTACATCCCAGGCTTCCCACTCATGCCAGATGTGTTTGCTGGCATTCCTAGGCACTCTAACTCAACATTTGGGTACATCTTTGCAATTCCTTTCAAGGTAAAAAAATTCAAAGAGGGAGTGTGCTGTGCACACAAAGTCCATTTGAGATATGTTGCCGCTGATGCATTCAAAAGATGAAGAGTTGATCCTCAGCTGCAAGGAGTGATTTCACAAAGCAAAGTCCTTCCCAAAGCAGCCCACACCCAGCAGCAGGATGGGACAGACATCAGTGTCTGGCCAGTTTGACCTCAAAGAATCAATACTGAGTGATTTTTATTCCAGAACCCTCTGCCAAGTTTCCCAAGACTTAGTTGGGCTTGACTCTGCAATTCAATGGATGGGTATCTGAAAGCCAAGTAAATTCCTTTATTTCCTCTTATATTCAATATAAAAGCCAAAAATTAAAAAAGCTTGCTTTCCTACAATGTCTTGTCTGTCCACTCTTTGTGCTACTTAACATAAATTCAGATCTGCTCTCTTTCCTAGAAGTTGTGTTAGAGCGTGTAAGGAATGCCTACTTCCATGTCATCTTAGGAATCATTTGGGTTAGTCACCTCTGCAACTTCTCTTCTGATCACCATCCCCTTATTTTGCAAAGGGGCATAGGAAGTAGCTGTAGGGGAGGGGAGAGGGAACAATCAAAGCTAGCTTGGTGGCAGATCTGGCACTCAACAACAGCAGATGTAGCCAGGTCAGCCTTGGTGAGTGGCAGTCCATGTTGTCAAGCCCATGCTTAATCTCTGTCTCTGACACCATGCCCACTTTGTTGGTGGGCCCACAGAACAGATCACCTTATTTACTTAGTTATTGAACTCTTCCTCTGCTGAAGTTGCCTTTTCATGAGCATTTATACAAGTATCTTCACATCATTCACTCACTTGGAAAGATGTCTCCACATCCTTCTTCCTCAAATGTCTTTCTCGCCAGTTTTCTAACCATGCTTTTCCCAAGTCTCTGATCATCCAGCCAGTCACTGCCAATGAGTCAGTGAGTACTCACACATCTGGCCATTTCTCCTTGGGGATCAAATGTAAGACTATGTGTACTTCACAAAGTCCTACACACTGAAGATTTCCCTTCACCGATGTTTTATTAGTGTTGTCCCAGAAAAAGATTGTAATGCTACAGCTGTCCACTTCTGGATCATGCATGCTGTGGTCCTGCTAGTCCAACTAGCCAGCAGTCTGGTGGAAGGTTAACCACATGGGATCACTTCTTCCATAGAAAAGACAATGTTTTATTATTTCAGGAGTAGATAATTATTCTGCTTATGACTAAACCACCATCCATTGACTTACTGAATGCCTTATCACCATATGGTATTGTATACAGTATTGTTTCTGACCAAGGAACTCACTTCACCTGCAGAGAAAAGTGATAGTGGGCCCATCGTCATAGAATCCACTGGTCTTACCATGTTCCAGACCATCCTGAAGCAACTGGCCTTTTGAAGACACAGTTACAGCACCATTTGATGGCAGAAGCCTGGAGGGGTATGGCAGGGCTCTCTAGAAGGTAGTATATGCTTTGAATCCGTGTTCAATATATAGTGTGGTTTCTTCCATAACCAGGATGAATCATGAGTGGAATAGGGTATTATTCACTCACGGTCACCCCTAGTGACTCACTAGGAAAAATTTTTTTCCTTCCTGGTCCCATGACCTTAAGTTCTGTTGGCCTAGAAGTTTTGGTTCCAGGAGCAGGAGTACTCCTGCCAGAAAACACACACACACACACACACACACACACACACACACACACACACACACACACAAATTTCACTTGTCTTAAAATGTAACATCAATTAAGAGACTATCAGTGATTGTTATATTTAAAATTTGAAATACCAAAAGAGTGCCTCTCAAGGGACATTGCCACCTATTCTAAGACTTATAATGTGTTTTTAGTTATATGAGGGATAATTATATTGTGCTAGTCATAGTTGTGACCTGGTCGTTGTTTTCATTTGGAAATTAAGCATGACATAAGGAGGTATGAGTGTGTGCCAAGTTGACAAATGGGGGGACTTGTGATGGCTAGTCCTAGTTGTCAACTTGATTAGTATAGGGTTTACTAAAACCCGAGCAGCAAGCAGCTGGGCACACTTGTGAGGGATTCTTTTTTTCTTTAAATTATTTGAAGTGGGAAGATTCATTTATTTTTCTTCTGAGGCTGGGTTTCTTTGTGTGACAGCCCTGGCTGTCCTGGAACTCAATTTGTAGACTGCGCTGGCCTCACAGAGATTTGCCAGCCTCTACCTCCCAAGTGCTGAGATTAAAGGCATGTGCCACCATTGCCTGGACTCCCTTCTTATCTTTTGACAACAATGTCTGACTGAGATGGTCCCTTGACCACCCATCCTGTGAATATGCCAGTGACAGAAATGCAAAAGAGGACATTTCAAAACTCCCTTGAAATATTCAAGCCATATGACCCATATGAGATGTTGGAAATAATGATGTTTGAAAACACTTCCATGATTCTCCAGTTTTTCCTTGTTGAGGTAACTGTTGGTTTCCAGATGGTGAGGTTTCTATTAGCCTAGGTCTTTGAGTAAGTGAAATAGACACCCCCTCCATCATTCCCCACTCACTCGATGGGCAGACTGCCAGAGCAAGAATGAGTCATTATATGCTAAGCTTCTAAAGTGTGGAAGCTGCTGCCATAGCGTAAGCTGGATACGTCCTACCTGGAATGTCCTTGAAAGTAAACCACATACTCAATTATCCTGAGCAGATTCAGCTCTAGCTTTCTGAACAAGCTCTTTGGGTCCCTTGATTAACAGCCTAACTTGACAGCTTGCATCCTCTTTCCAGCCCATAACTTGGATTTGCCTTTTTGTATCCTGCAACATGGAAAGGCAACTGAAAATAAGTGACTTTGAACATACCATCTGTGTAGGCAGGAGGAATACAACCATGCTGTAGTCTGGAAAATATATAATGGAGATTCCACGAAACCATGTAAACTTGATGACATTGGTTTGCAACTGCTAAACTAGCCACCCAGGGCCAGTGTACCACAGGACCTCCATAGCCCAGGTGGCAGCTGGCCTTTATGATAGAAAACCAGAAATTGTTTTTCTAGGCTATTCAGAGAACATTCAGTTTTCAGAGGATGAGTTATACTAAAAAGGCAGTATATAAACTAGATGTTGTTTATTTATTCATTTGCCAGAGGAGTTTGTTTTAGTAACACAAATACTCATTAGAACAATCCAGAATGACTCTTCCCTACAAGAGAAAAATCAGGGGAGACAAACACATAAAGGAAAGCTGATACATGGACACAAAGAGGCCAGCCATCTTGCAGGTAATGGTCACTCACACCCTGAAGGAAGTCCTTCTGGATTTTGGTCCCCATCCCCAATTTCTCTCTTTCTCCTCTCCTTCCTCCTCCTCAATCTCTTGGCCAATATTGAGTATACTAATTTTATTTTTTGCTTCCAAGTTCCTGATTTTTCTTCCACAGAGTTCAATAAGGCTAATTGGACGTTGTCTCTAGTTTGTCATTTGCTCTTGTAAACAATGCTTTACTGGATCACGTCCATGTCCATTAACTCACATGCAGTCCACACTTGCTTTTCATTCATTCCATTTGCAATGACAAAGCCTGTGACATTCATTATATGGTTTAGTTAGCAGAAATTATGTTGATAACTGATGTAGACAAGGCCATTACTGTTCAACCAAAAAACTGTTCTTGCTAATGGTGATGACTCATAAGTTATAATCAAATGCAACCTTCGGAGAGTGGTGACAGAAGAACATGTAAGTTTGCTGAATCTATTACCATGTGCAAAATGTTCACGTGGCTCTGATTCCATGTTTCAGTGGCTGCCAAAAATTCATTTTTCATGTTAAATATGGTGTGGACTGTCCTTCAGAGGTCAATACTGAATAAAGACATAATGTCCAGAAAGTTGTCAAAGATATGGATTCCAAAAGATACTCCATCTTTACCTTGTATACATATTTAGTTCTTTGGTTCTCAGTTCTGTAAAATCAAATATCCTGGCCTCCAGAAGGGGCTGTTAGGAACATTTTGTAAGATTTTTTTGCAAATAAGAAGGAGATATATCAAGTCAACATTCACATGAGGTGAAGTATCCTGTGTGGTGGTAATTAAATGATGTCCTGGGGTCACTTCTGACTCTGAAAGCTCACAGTTGTTACCCAAAGACTTGATACCCATCTTCTCTGTAGACAAGGAATACATGGGGTCTTCTGCTAGGAGCATCCACTCACTCTGTAGACAAGGAATAAATGGGGTATTCTGCTAAGAGCATCTATTCACTCCTGTGCATAAGCATCCTTGCTGTCTCTGCCTTGGGCAGAACTCAGCAGGAATTCTCCTCTGAAATAGCCTGCTGCATGACCAGAAAAGCTCCTAGGTCCTCTCCAAAACCAAGGACAGTTCAGAAAACATTGTAAAGCCTGCTCTATGGGAATGGGCTGGGTGTAAGACAAGATGGGCATGACAGTTCCCTCTGTTATAGATGATTCTTGGTTCTCCCCAGTCTGGCAAGCTGAGAGCAAGAGAGCAGTACTCTAGGGCATTTACAAGCATCTCAAAAAGTTGTATGTTAGAATTCAGTGAGGTGGGCACAATATGGAAGAAGTGTGTGTGTGTGTGTGTGTGTGTGTGTGTGTGTGTGTGTGTTCAAAAACGTGGCTAATGTATAGAAAGACTGTGTGGGGTGTCTAGGAGTTGGCATAAATGCAAGCATGAATGAACATAGAGGATGGTAAGGAGTTTCCAATAGAACCAGCTGTCCAACTGCCTGGTCAAAAGCTAGAGCTGCCACTCTCTGGTAGCAGTACCATGGTGGGCCAGGTAGTAAATCTGTTTCACAAATGTTTTGTCTCCCATCATCACCTTCAGAGGATTAGTATCTTTGCTTGCCTTGTTAAAGTTGCATTTGGCCATGAGACTCTCTTTGGCAGATATAATATGGGCAGAAGCAATCTCACACTAAGATATTTAGAGGTATTGCTTGATTTTACAAATTCCTCTTATGCCATCTGAGAAAAGTCTGTCCCAGGGAGCCACTGTTACTCTCCACCTCTGGGCCCCAATGGGACATACACCTACAGACACAGTGTAAAAGTAAGTGTCTTAATGCTGCATACCAGAGAGTTTTTGCTTTTATTTGTTATGTGCAGAAACTGGCTGATACAGGCAAAATACTTAACACCTGCTTCTTCTCCAGGAAACTAGAGAGGAAAACGATGCCTGTGGTTACTAAGAGTTGTTATGAGAATCAGGTGAGTTATTGCCTATTGAAGTACTTTGGACACTTGCTGGCACATAGTAAGTGCTTAATAACAATAGTAGCTGTTGTTGGTGTAAATGCACATGTATGCAAGTACCCAAACAATAAGGATGGCTGAGCACACAAATCAGGTGTGAAAGTGTGTGAGACGGAAGAGGGAGAGCGGCTAAGCAGGTGTGAGTGGGGAGGCAGGCTCAGCAGAAGTATTCATTGATGCGCCTGCTACCCCTGACTCCCCAGAGCTGGGAGTCCAGGCTGGAGCGCGCTGAGAGAAGCCTATCTGCCTCACTGAGGCTGCTCCTGGACAGCTCCTCCGAGCCATCCTCGCTGTGGCCGAGTCTTTCCAAATTAACATAGGCACCGGAAGCCTCTGCAGAGCCCCCAGTGCGGCACTTGTGGCAGCGTCTTCGGAGAGCGCCACAGCAGACCAGCAGGGTGGGAGGCATCGCGATGATGGCCGCCACGCTGATCACCACCATGTTGATGAGCCGCTGGGTGCCCTCTGCGTCTACCACCTCATCGGTAGAGAAGATGACACACTGTTCCTTCGTAGGCACCAGGCCCCGCACACAGACACACGCCACATACTTGGTCTTTGGAGCAAGCCCCTCGATGGTGACACTAGTCTCCCCAGGCTCCACAGTCACCCTCCGCATGTCTCGCTGCCCAAAGACGGCGTAAAGGACACTAAAGGCAGTTGTGTTCCCAGCTTGAGGGGCCTTCCACACCAGCGACACACTGTGGTACGTATCTCCCAACACCTTGAGAGAACTGACCATCTGGGCTTCCTGGTGCTCTGCTTGCTCTCTGGAGAACTCTCCTGGGACGTCCATCTGAAAGTGCTGGAGCTCCAACTCCCTCTTTACGCTGGGCACCGAGGGCTTGGTAGCCGGGGCTAAAGGCTCGGGGAAACGGGGAACATGCCTGGCCACCAGTTTGTTGTTGTAAGCAGCAGCTTCTGCTCCCTCCCCTGTCCTTGCCCACAGGGCCCCCGGAATCCCACTAAATCCTGTAGAAGTCTGGGGCTCGGTGACAATCAAGGAGATCAGGGTCTCAGAAGCCCCTAGGAAGTTCTTGGCCTGGCAGATGTAGTCTCCGGAGTCAAAGAGAGACACCACCGGCAGATCCAGCAAAGTCCAGCTTGAGCCATCACTGGAGACTTCCTGGTGCACTAGGGAGAGAAGAGGCCAGTATGAAGGAACGAATGAATGGTCTTCACAGGCTCCCTTGTAAGGCCAAGGTCACACACAGCCCCTGGTCTACACACACTGTAGTGAACACCGCTCATCCCAAGAAAATAGCGGCATGCACTCAAGTCTCAAGTCCTTCAAGGCCAGCTCCCTGGATTAGTCGAGAATAAATTGCCTAAGTACAACTAACTACCTTCTAGGCTGCTGTAGAAGTGGCCCCTCAGGGAAGCAGCGAGGGCACTGGGGGTAGGTAGGTACAGGGGTGAGTAGGAGGCAGAGAGGACGATCTGGAGGTGCCATACCTACCCCTGCACACTCCCAATGACACACCTAACAAGCACCCTCACCTTTGTGTTTTTACACAGTGGAGCCTTGTGAGCCCCTTTGCAAACTGGTCCAAAGCCCCTATCCTAGAGCAACAGTCACCAGCCTCGCTGAGGGGGACAAAAGAAAGCTGGGAGGGATGCGAGATTTTCCGGGTAGTTGCCAAGACATTATTTCTCCTAGACCTGTTTCCTGCCTGTGAATGGCCGTGATTCTTGTCCCTGCTGCCACCATGACAGAGATGATCCAACTCAGCCGGAAGAGACACCTGTTCCACACTCTGAAGCCAGGGCTGGGCTGACTGGAATTTAGCTTCTTCATATATGAGCTGTGTGATACGGGGCAAGCATTTACCTCTCAGGACTTCCATGTATGTGTCTGAAGAGAAGATAATCAGGTTGCTTTGGACAGTTATGGGTTGGTTTGGCTCCAGGTGGGGGTGGTTCTGAGAGAAGGTCTCATGTAACACAGTCTACTAACCCCTAACTCTGTGTAGCTAAGATTGGCCTTGAACTTCTGGTCTTCCTGCCTCACAAGTGCTAGGCTACAGACTCAGATCACTATGCCCAAGCTCACGTGCTTTTTAAAGTTGAATGACATAATGGACATATTTTACTTAACATAACGTTGGACCCATAAAAAGATCTCAACAGATAGCGATTCCATCATTATTTATCCCTGATGCTTCTGGGTTAATATTTTAAAAGCAAAAACCTGCTAAAATGTTAAATACGCCAAGAGTATTTTGTAAAAATCAATTTTTGTGCTGGGCAGGGCAGCACACACCTTTAATCCTACCACCCGTGAGGCAGAGCCAGACAGATGTTTGAGTTCAAGGCTAGCCTGAACTACAGAGTGAGTTCCAGAACAGCCAGGGCTACACAGAGAAACCCTTACTCAAAACAACAAAACAAAACAAAAAAATCAGCTTTGTATAACTCCCAACATGGGCCTCTGATAATAAAGTTTCTGATAATAAAGAGACTAATGAGAAATAACAGGATGGGTTGAGAGTCATTGTCATAATCAATGTCCAGTCTAGGACCAGATTCTAGCCAATTGTATTCAGGCAGATCAGAGCCCCGCCTGGCGTATACCAACTGCTGCTGATTCTGTCTACTTTCCATTTGGGAAGCTGACCCACCTGTATCAATTCAGCACTCAACCCAGAAGGCCTGTTGCTCACACACCTGTGCCATTGAAGGGACGTCCATTGGCTCTCCTCCAGCTCATTTCAGGACCTGGGACCCCAGTTGCTCCACAGCGCAGCAATACCGTGCTGCCCAAAGGGGATATGATGCTGGTCACCCCTGGACGGAGCTCTGGGCTCTGACACTTTCTCAACTCCAGCTGGTTGAAGGCCACTCCAGCCAGGCTTCGTGGGCTGGCACACCTCAGTCTAGGCTCGATGAAGACCAAGTTTGAAGCCCAGCCATTTAGGAGATGAACCAGGTCATAGAGTCGACAGTCACATACCCAGGGGTTGTCCTGGAGCCCTGCAGAAGTGAGAGAGTAAGCAAGAGGTTAACCCTAGATCTCCAGGTCCAGCTGCATGTTTTCTCTGGGAGGATGGGGCAGTTTTCCCACTCAGAGTCAACAGAACTGACCACTGACCCCAGCTCTTTACCTTGCTAAATGTGTGCCCTGACACTTGGTTTTTCATCTTCATTCAAGAACTAGAAGTCACTCAAAAACACTCACTGGGTCTGAGAGATGGCTGGATGAATAAAGCACTTGTCTCTTTATTTGTGAATAAAGCATGGGTCTGAGGATCAGAGTTTGAATTTCCTCATACACATAAAAGCCAGGCAGGCATGGTGGAAGCCTGTATTTCTCAAGCTAGGAAGGCAGAAGCAGTGAATCCCCGAACAAGCTGTAGTTTAGACTAGCTGAATCAGTGAGCTCTGGGTTAGCAGGAGACCCTGCCTCAATAAATAAAATGGAGAATGACCATGGAAGACAATTGACATCAACTTCAGGCTTATACATTCACATGCATGTGAGCCTGCTCACACACACATGCCCATACACATTCAAGCATTCATGCACACATGCTACATACACATAAATGTGCCAAAAGACTGACTCAGTGACTATAAGGATGGGCAGTCTCACTCACGAGTGACAAACACTGAAAATTGTATCCGCCTCATTAGAAGCCATCAAATTGATTATAAAAATTTTAGCATGTGTGCTGTATTATTTGGCAAGTTCACGCCTCAGCTCCTGTCTTTCAGATGAGTTTACATACACGTACTAAGAATACATGGCTGAGAACAGTCTCTGGCATGCAAGGTGTTAATGAGACAGTGGAAACAATCTGGAGACCTTTGAAGGGGGCTGGCTGCATTAATGTGGAAAGCAAACTTGTCCCATTTGTAGTCATTTTGAAAGATTTCTGAGATAGATTGTTGAATGAAAAAATTGATGATGGCTAATACATATAATATGATTTTTAAAAAAATGTAACACAAGGGGCTGGAGATGGCTCCATGGTTAGGAGCACTGGCTGCTCTTCCAGAGGACCTGGCATCCATATGTAGGCTCACACTCATCTGTAACTCCAGACACAGGGGACACAACACCCTCTTCTGGCCTCTGAGGGCACTAGACATACAGGTGGCAGACAGACAAATACATAAAAAATTGTAACATCATACAGTTTTTCTGTGTGTGTGTGTGTGTGTGTGTGTGAGAGAGAGAGAGAGAGAGAGAGAGAGAGAGACAGAGAGAATGAGAGAGAGACAGAGAGACAGAGAGAGAGGGAGAGAGAGACAAAGAGTATAATTGTGTATACATGTGAATGTATTGTAAAAGGTAAAGATCTTTTAAGTAAACCTGAAAATTAGTAGCTGCCCTTGGGTAAGGGGTTAGGATAGGAAAAGGGACAACCCCAGAGAAGTGAGGAAACAAGGAAGACCCTAAGAGAGACAGACATACCTGGATCCACCAGGAAGTGGGTTGAGGACCAGGTCACTGTAAATCTCTATTTCTCACCCCAAGGCACTTCCCAAAACTCAGCCACCTTCCCACAGATGGCCTGGCACCATAGAGATAACCCATCGCTTATTCCCACAGCTAAACACTGAGCCGAATTCAAGGAACCCAGTGACAGAGAGGGAGGACTGATGAGCAAAGGGGTTAAGACTGGGCTGGTTTAACCCCCAGAAACAGCTGACCTGACAAGGGTTAGCTCTTGAATCCCAGACTGATGCCTGGAAATCCATCATGGGACAGATCAAGACCCCCTGAATGTAGGTGTCAGTGAGGAGGCCTAGGCAATCTATGGGGCCTTGGGTAGTAGATCAGTATTTATCCTGGGTATACAAATGTACTTTGGGTGCCTAACCAAAAATGAGAGATGCACTCTCACCCTGGACTCTTGGGGTAGGGTCTAGGTCCTGCCCTGGATGAAATGACAGACTATGGACACCCCCATGGAGGGCCTCACCCTCCCTGGGGAAATGAGGGGTCACTGGGGGGGTTGGTGGCAGGGTGTGGGAGGAGGGAAAGGAAAGGGAGAGGGACCTGGGATTGACATGTGAAGCAACCTTGTTTCTAATTTAAATTTAAAAATAAAAATTAAAAAACCAAAACAATGCTTCCTTAACACCTGGACTGCCTGGTGAAATCTCCTGCTCATTGCTTATCAAACACTTCCTGCTTCTGACAGCCCCCTGCCCCACTCCTCAGCATCTCCCGTCTAACAACCTCTGCCCCATCCAACGCCACATTGCTCTGAATAAGCTTGTACGGAAACCCTCAATAAACAGAGCTTGATCAGTTTGTCTTGCTCTCATTCTCTGCGTCTCCTGTCTCCCATTTGTCTCCCCTCAGGTTAACCCACATTGACTTAGCCCCATGAGTCGGGGCAGAAGAGGAAATAGACAATATCTCCTGAGTATATTGGGAGCACGGAGGGAGGGGGTGGGGAGGGGAGAATGGGAGGGGGGAGAACATGAAGGATCAGTTTTCCTATTTCTAATGCTGGAATACGAGGTGGCTCTGTTTGACTGGAGCTACTAAACCTGAGATGAATGCCGACATCATTACTTCCGGTGTAGAAGGATGCCATCTTGATTACCTAGGACTAGTCTGGCACGGTGACCAGAAAGAAAGGGTCCAGTCTTCAGGTGAGCCCAGGTATCTAGCAGCTCCAGAGGAAGCCTCATCAGCAGGTTGCTGGAGAGGTCCAGGAAAGTAAGGTTTTCCAGGAAGTGCGCAGCCTCAGGTGGCAAGGTCACCAGGCGATTGGCCTGCAGGTCCAGCAGCTGCAGCTGTGGAGCATCCTTGAGAGCAGCCCAGGGGAAAGCAGCCAGGCGGTTCCCAGGCAGACGCAGCTCTCTTAGGCGGTGCAGGCCCCTGAGCATGAGGGCACTGAGCTCGCTTAGAGCATTGTAGGGCAGCCACAGCTGTTCCAGATGGCCCAGAGGCCTGAAAGCTTCTCCAGGCACCCTGCGGATGGCAGTTCGCTCCAGGCACAGCCTGCAGGTGTCCGGAGGAATCGAAGCTGGGGGCAGTGTCAAGTCAGGGTCGCTGCACACCACTGTCCTGGTCACAGAAATGGGGGGGATATTTGATTGAACAAGCATCCTTCCCTTATGAGACCCCAGATTAGCTTGCAACAACAGATACCCCTGCAGTGTCTAGTGTCTAAGTAGGTGGACGGAGTACCTCAGAACACGTAATCAAAGTCATAGTGCCTGTCTGCTGCTGTTGATAATGTAGCCAAGGAAGAGAGAGCCTAATACATAGAGAGACCCTAATATATAGTGCATACACATACAGTGCCTATGTGTGTGAGCAGGATGTTAACAAGGAAGGTTTGGATATGGGTAATGGAAAGGAACTGATAGGGCAATTGTTCCTAAACAGTTGAGAAAATGGACAAGGGAGGACTCAAAGGGTAGGACTAGCCTAACATGAGCCACTCTAAAAAACTGGGCACTAAGAGAACGGGGAAACATCTATCTAGGTGCCCATATTGCCCCCTGTCAGCCACCTCCCAACACACACAGCTGCATCTGTAATTCCCAGAGGTACACATAATACTGTATTCAGGATTTGAACATAATGCAGGAAGGACGCTAGGATGTTACTCTACACAAGGCTAGTGCTGGGTCTGAGGAAGGCATATAACATACAAACTTGTGATCTCAGTGTACAGTCTATGCCCATGGAAACTAGAGACCTGGGTTTCGCTGCAGGCTTTCATGGATTCACTGCCCAGTAGGATACTCTGTGCAGATGGCTGAGTCTGTTGCTCCCCACCCATGGAAGAGCTCCCAGAGTCTAAAACTTAGATCCATGGATTCTGGTACTGGGTCCATAATCAACGGCATGTGACTTTGAGGCTTAGCTTTCTGTGGATGGTGTCACCTTTGTGACCAGGGTGACAAAAAGCATCCTCATCACTGTCCTTAGTCATCAGCCATGTTCCAGGCTAAGCATCATTGAGCATCAGCCTGTCTTAAGTAGTGAAAAGAAATTTACTTTCCATATGAATTAAATCATCAAACATGTCAAAACCAGAATGCTTTCTTTTCTCCGGAACATAAAAGTTATCTTTTTTGGAGGTTTCTCTTCATCCTCAACCTCCATCATACCCAACCAACCCAACATTGCCAGCATCATGTGTAAAGGGTAGTTCCAATAGCATCATTTCCATGGTCAGAAATCTTCATCAGTGACTCTCCAGTATTCATGTGAGACAAAGGAGAAAGGATGATGGATTCCACGAGGTTGGAAAGTTGATAGGAAAAACCCTGAGGAAGGGACTGAAATCCTTGAGCACATTAGAATAAGTTTCCTCCTGAATAAGCCAAGGGCATTGGGAAAAGATGACTTATTGTTTGCTGCCAAGAGAAAAAAATGACTCCCATGAGAAAGGCAAGGGTCCACCAACCACAGTGGCTTTGGCTTCAAAGGTCCATGAAGAGGAAAAGGCATGAGAAAAATCAGAGTGGGCTGAGGAAGGAGGGAGCTTCTTGCAATGGAACGAGCATTTCTGCCCTTATAGATATCCAAGTGGGGGAAAGTACACAGGGAGGCATGGGTTAGGAGGCAAAAGTACCCAGATGTGAGAGACTGGGTATCTTGTGGATGTCAGGCATGAGAATGGGAGGTGCCTAGGAAGAAGGAGCTGGGAGATGCAAAGAGGGAGATAAAAATGGAAGGAAGCAAACAGAGGGAAATATGAGGTAAAGAAGAAACGTCTAGACTTCTAAAGAGGGCTTCTCCCTACCAGAGACATGAAGGAAGTCTCAGGAAGAACTCTCTGACTGGCCCATGCGTGTCCCACACCCTGGACGGAGTAAACTCCCTGTTTACTGAAGAAGACACAGCACATGCTTTCCCAAGCCCTTGGGTTTCAAGGATCCCAAACCCAGCACGTCTATGTGTATCAGGTGGTCTCTAGTGGGAGCAGGTGACCTGTGAGTAAATGGACATCTGCTGGGCATCCAGTCCTTCCCAACCCTGCCTCGCTGGTGGACCTACAAAGGCTCAACCACCCATCCCACACCTGCAGGTGTCATACCTGGCCTTGCTGCCATCACTCAGGATGTGCAGGCTGCAGCTGCATTGAGAGGGACAGAAGCTCCAGGCCTGGTGAGGCCCCCCAAGGGCAAGGAGCCAGAGCATTCCCATGGCCACCCACATGACTTCTAGCTCCTCTTGGGCCCAGACAGGGGGCCTGTCCTGGGCGTGCTCCGTCCTGCTTGACCAGTAAGTCCAGCAGCTAGCCACTTGCTCATCACTCTCCAACCCCCACCCAAGGCCATGGGATAAATGCAGGCTGGGGATTAGGGAGGGAGCCCCAGCCCCAGCACTCAGCAGCTTATTGCTTCCTGAGTCACCCAGGCTTGAGGGGAGGGAGAGAATCCCTCTACAGCAACAACCCCAGGCCAGAAGAAGCTGGAGCACAGCAAGATAAAGCAGATGGGCAGCTGCCCAGAGGCAAGTGACTAGTTGAAAGGGCTGTCTCCTTGCAAAGAACTACATTTCAGTCAGGCTATGGGTGACTGAACTGTGTCCTTGGGGTGCTAGGTTCAAGAAAAAAAATGAAACAGAGATGTGGTCTCTAATAAGGGCCTTTGAAAATTGTCTCCTGTGAGAGTCTCTAGAAAAAAAAGGAGTGACATGAAGCAGGACCTTATGAAGACAATGTAAGCATTAGGAGGAGTCCATGCTTCAGGGCACAACACCGTATTCAGATCTCAGGCCATCAGTTATGAAAGAAAGGAAAGCTTTCCCACCTGGAGTGCTGCTGAGAATTAGCCCAGGCTTGCCCATCCTTGACTATCTGGGGGACAGAGCCTTCCCATGAACTATACTTTTCTGGAACTTGCAGGCCCTTGCTCACAGAGGAGCTGGGAAGACTTTGACATTTCAGGGAGGCATCAGAGATGTCTCCATGTGCTCATGAACGTGAGCAAACATCTACTTTTCCTCCATGCCCCAGGGACACCCAGTCTCAGAATCCTAAGCTGTCAGTGGGATACCTTTGATGCATAACCACCCATGCTGAAGGCAAGAGAAGTCACTGCAGGAGGAGAGAGCTCTGCCTTCCTCAAGGGTCATCCACCAGGAAGGGTCCTAGAGCTGGATCTCACAGAGGTTTTTGAAGATTTTGTTTTCTCTTCTCGAATTCCACCCTGCCAAACCTTCTCAAGATGCCGGGAGGAGGGAGTGTTAGACTCCTAGTAAGTCACTCATTCACAGGTTTTGCTTTTTGTCTCAGCATACTTGGTCATCTGACTTTTCTGCTAGGTTCCACAGTCTGGCATGCTCAAGAGTCTAGTCAGTCCTCAGCTGGTAAGGTTGGGCCAAGGAAGATGCCTGGGGACTATGCTCAACAGTTTTATGTCAGCTTGACCTAAGCTGAAGTCATCTGTCAGGAGAGAACCTCAACTAAGAGAATATCTCTATAAAATCAGGTTGTACACAGCCTGTAGGCTATTTTCTTAATTAGTGATTAAGCATCAAGGGCTCAGTCCATTGTGGGTGGTGCCATCCCTGGGCTGGTGGGCCTGGGTTCTTCTATAAGCAACCAGGCCGAGTAAGTCATGTGAAGCAAGCCAGTAAGCAGCACCCCTCCATGGCCTTTGTATTGGTTCCTGCCTCCAGGCTCCTGCCCTGTTTGAGTTCCTGTCCCGACTTCCTTCAATGATGAATACACTGTTGAAGTGTATAACCAAATAAACTCTTTCCTGCCCAAGCTGCTTGGTCATGGTGCTTCATTGCAGCAACAGTGACCCTGAGCCCGACCCCAGGGAGTACACATACAGTGCCTAGCTCCATGCCAAGCCGATCTAGGCAGTGACAGCTTCCAAAAATGGCGCTCCTCATATCTTCTCTTCACATCCAGCCAGGAGCATTTGCTCAGTGCTAGGACAGTACCTGTCACTCTCCTCTGGAAATCAAAGACTTCCTGTCCTGCTGCCACACCCAGGCGGCCTTTTCCTCTTGCTTGGACTTCATTTAGTTGACTCTGTACTTTATCCCTTGCCTTATCCCTTCTCTTCTTTTCTGATGTCTTTGGTGATCTTGTGGGCGTGAGAAGACAGTCACAGGTGTCAACCAGCAAGTTAGAAGTCAGGAAAGAGTAGGGAAGGCCCTGGAGGATGTCGCTGGAACTCCAGGCTCTAGGAGTCACTGAGGTCAGACTCAAGTAGGTATTGTCAGGCTCAAAGAGGGACGGTCTGTGACCTGGATGTTATCAGAGTAGAATGAATTGCTCTGAAGAGGGAATCAGAGGGCACCAGTGGGGAGTGCTGGGGCCTGTGTGACGGAAGGCGAGAGTTGCTGCAGCTCCATCTCCACTCACTACACGGCCCTGGGCTGATTCCTAACCCACTTATCTCCAATGTCCTCATCTAAATGGAGAGGTACAGGCGTCTCCTTCATGGGGTTAGTTTTTGGAGTCTTCTGATAATTGCCCACTAGTGTTGTCCCTAACTTTAATAGATGTGAGCTGTTTAGCTAATAGCCCTGTGGGCCGTGGTTTCTCCATCTGAAGATTGGCTGTTGCATAGATCATTGTTTTCTGATGTGGCTTTCAGAATGAGTCAGTGTACAACTTGTACCAAGATCTTGTGTGTAGAAGGCAAAGTTCTCAGTGAGTTCTGGGGCACTGTGAAAAAGTACGAGCCATCCTTCACTCTGGGAGGTATTTCATGCATGCATATCTCAGAGACCGTATGGGAGGCAGGAAGTGAAGCCCCAAAGTCTAAATCCACAACGGATTCAAAGCAGCACTTAACTAGGCAAGGGCACGGAGCACAAATGACGAAGCTGAACAGATAATGACCCAATGGCTGCACTGCAGTGCAGACAGCCAGGAATGGCGGACTAGGAACCAGGAACTAAGGGTCTGGTCCCAGTCAACATTTGTATGTGACTTTAAAAGCCTCACCATTTACCCAGTGTTTGCCTGCATGTATATGCCCGTGATCCTTTTAACAGATACACACACACACACACACACACACACACACACACGCACGCACGCACGCACGCACGCACGCACGCACGCGCATATGCACACGAACCCATAGACACTCAGCTGTGCGTGTAGAAGGACCTGGCTACTGTCCAATTCTCAGGGACGGCTGCAGCTCAAGTCCTTTCTTCCACTCCCCTCTCGTGGTTACGCAACCCTTTCCCAGTTCAGCTTTTAGTCACACACCATTTGGCTCCTAAGCCTTAATCCTGCCCAGTGGGCTGAAATGAACAAGGCAGGGCTCATTCCAGTCCACAAAGCCTGCACTGTCCTTCTCCTGAATGATTCCTTCCATGTGAGCCAAGAGGAAGACTTAGAAGGGTGAGGGGGGGAAGGTGCTCTAAATCCACCATAATAACCTCCATGGGGCAGCAGGTGGGGTGGCCCTTTAAAAAGGAGGAGCCTGGCTTCAGAGAGCCAGAAAAAGGGCTGGGTGACCCGCAAGGAGGGAGTCCAAGGATGGCTGCAACCAGGGCCCTGCCTGCTGGCTTTGGGGAACTCGAGGTGCTGGCTGTGGGGACAGCGCTGCTGATGGAAGGTGAGCCAAGTGACCCTGGGTGGACCCAGTGTCCCGGAAGCCAGGCCCCAGCTGTGGAGTGGGTGTGTCCCCAGTGTTCCTGGGAGCCAGGCCCCAGCTGTGGAGTGGGTGTATCATCTTGGCTGCCTCTCCTCTGTGTCTAGATCCAGGAATTATTCTCGTGACAGCCCCCTTAGGATGTAGCACGCTGCATAGGAACCAGGAGAAAGAAACCAGGCAGGGCTCAAAGAGAGAGACACTTGGATAGGAGATACCTGCTCAGGAGGTAACTGGGCCAGTCCAAGGCTTTTCCTGTCCCTCAAGCCAAGAGAAAATGTAACCCACTCTCCAGAAATTTTGCTAAGACTCTCATGTAAGACCAGGCCCTCAAAAGTCTCCAGAGATCAACAGCTCAGCCACTTGCTCTCTGGGATGTTACCAAGTCATTTCAGCTCTCTAACCGTCAAAGCCTAGTCATTATAGATGAGTGTCTGCAGAGGCTAAGTTGAATCATTAGTATAACATAATGTTCTAAATAGACATGCAGGGATTTAAGTTCATTATCCCTCGGTCCCCTCTGCCTCAGTCTGCCACTACTTCTACCAGGTCTATTCCTACAACCAAAGGCTTTTCTCCAACAGCAGCTACTTAGACCCAGGAGACACCTGCCTCAAGCTAGAATCACCTCGATGCTCAGTGAGTACACAAATAGAATCCTCCCTGAAGCCAGGCTCATAGTGTTTCATCTTGCTGCCTGGTGTCCTGGGTCACGCCGAGCTCTAAGTTGGATCCTCTTCTCCAGGTCCTACCCCCCACCCCACCCTGCGCGAACACCTTGACATTGATCCACAGCCCTTGAAGGGGGTGTTTGAAGACTAGAAACTGTCGCTAATGCTGCCACATCCTAACCACACTTATCTAGTATCTCTGAGCCATGGAGAGAAGATCGAATGAGCAATGTGCTCTCCAGGGTGTCTGGTGCCCACTTGTTCAGCTCTTGTCAGAGACTGATGGCCACAGCAGGAGCCACACTGGGCTGTGTGGTCTTCTTGGGTATCTTCCAATTAGACTGTCAGTTGGTAGAGAGCAGGGTAATCACAGGTTTTACTGCCTGAGAGCCATCCCACCAGAGCAGCATTTGAAAAGCCGTGCTGAGAGGATGCTGAGGTGAAATCTGTGAGGTTACTGAAACTCCACCAGCCCCAGACCCTGCTTCTGATACCCACATGGGCCTCACCTCCATACAAGCCTCAACATCAGCCCCCACCCTTCCTTTCAGCGCTCTCTGGCCTCAGCCTCAATGGCCTGACCATCTTCTCTTTCTGCAAGACTCCAGATCTGCGGACTCCCAGCAATCTGCTGGTACTGAGCCTGGCCCTGGCAGACAGTGGGATCAGCCTGAATGCTCTTGTTGCAGCTGTGTCCAGCCTCCTCCGGTACCAGCCCCTCCCCCTTCCACAGGCTCCAAGGTCTTGCTTGGAACTTCACCTTGGGGGGTCATGGGCAAGCAGACCAGAGCCTGCCTTTCTACCTACAGAAAACTGTCCCAAGGTCAGAGGTTAGGCCAACTGAATTAAGTTAAACTCGAATTCCTGATTATTGATGAAGATATAGCCAATGTCAGGGATGCGGGGGTTGCTCAGACCTGACCAAAGAGACGGTGGGCTGGAAGGACTCAGACTTGTATTCAGGTTGTCTAACTTTGAGTCCTTGCTCCTCCGTTTCCGGTTCTGGGATACTTCCGTCAGTTACATTCTACAACCTAATTCATGTGTATTATTGGATGTGCTGATTAAATTATTTACAAGTAGCTCGAGCTAATACTCCCTGGTAGGCCCTAAATAAGTGTTTGTTACAGCCACCAGGATTTAGACCAGAGTCTAATACCTCATGTGCACATCAGGATCTTATCATGTGGCCTGCAAAAGTGTCTTTGGAACCTGAATCAGTAAGAATTCCTTCTCTCACAATGAAACAGCCTTCTTCCTCTGCTTCACCATGGGGATGAGAATTAGGAGATGTACGGGTTTACCCTCCAGCTTTGCCTTCATGAGTTGTGGTACCCTGGATATGTAATTTTTTCTCATTGTCTGTGTGGAGACATATGACCATTCAGAAAGACCCTTTGGCCCATTGGTGGTTCATTAGTCCACTGACCTAAACTCCAAGGCACCAGTTCCATAGTGGGTAGAGCACGGACAACATCCGGGAACCTTCCAGGTTCATCTGGGCGGTGTGGGTGTTGGTTAGGATGAAGGGAAGTGTTACTATGCTCACTGTTTCCCACAGGCGCTGGCCATATGGTTCAGAGGGATGCCAGGCTCATGGTTTCCAGGGTTTTGCAACTGCACTGGCCAGCATCTGTGGCACTGCAGCCATTGCCTGGGGTCGCTACCACCACTACTGTACACGTACGTCTCTGGGCCCCTGATTGTAGGGACACTCCGGGTATATGAGGATACAAGATAGGGCAGGGTGGTCAGTATTCAGTTCAGTTTTCCAAACAAGAGAGTGTGGGTGGGCAGGAGGGTACCTGCATACAACATGTGGTCATTTGCTTCAGAAAAAGAGGGAGAAGGAGGGTGGGCAAGCCTCCTTGGAGATGCACATTAGAAAGACTGAGTCTGGCCTGGCATTGGTGATGCACACCTTTAATCTCATCACTCGGGAGGCAGAGGCAGGCAGATTTCTGTGAGTTCTAGACCAGCCTGATCTACAGAGCGAGTTCCAGGGCAGCCACAAACCCCCCCACCAAAAAAAGAAAAAAAGAAAAGAAAGACTGAGTCTGCCCTTGCTACATCCTTGGTGACACAGGACTTTGAACCTTAGTTTTCTTCTCTGCAAGGTTATTTAAAAAACAATCTCAGAGATTCATTTTGAAAATCAAATGAGATCATGGACATAGAAAATGTTCTGACAGTTATGTAAATCTGGGGGACAGAGGAGGGTGAGTGTGTGTTGGGGGAGCAAGAGGAGCGGTCTGGATGTGTGTGTGCCCTGCCACTTCATAGGTGTGTGGCAGAGCCACACAAAGATGAATTCAGGTCTCGATTTGTCAAGCCTCACTATTAGATTTTGTTTTCAGTGTGCCACCTGCTCTGTGGTTGCTTGTCATTTCTTGTTTGATTTTGTTTTGAGGCAGGGTCCCATGTATCCCAAGGTGGCTTCAGACTCGCTATGAGTGCTGGGATTACAGGTATGCACTTCCATGCCCGACTCATGCAGTGCTAGGGATAAGCATGAGCATGCCAGGTAAGCATGGTACTAATGATCTACGTCCCTAACCATTGCTTGCTATTGTTTTCCCAACAAATAAGTTACTTTAGAAAATGTCAATTTTTTCTTATAGCTTTATCTGTTTTGTTTTAGTTCATTAGTTTTGTTTTATGACAGTCTAATGCAGCTCAGGCTGGTCTAGCATTCCATATGAAGGCAGGGTGACTTTGAAATTCTGGTCCTCCTGCCTCCATTACCCAAGTACTAGGTATTACAAGTGTGTGTAACTATGCCCTACCCAGTTCTCTTTAAACTTAGTTTAGGATCTGGTTATGTAGCTCAATTGGTAGGATCCTTGCTTAGCATCTACAAGGCTTTGGTGGTAGCCTGCAACACCACAAAAACCTGGCATGGTGGTGCATGTCTATAATGCCAGCACTTGGTTGGGGGAGGCAGGAGGATCAGGAGTTCAGGGTAATTTTCAACTACTTTGTGAATTCAAGGTCAACCTAAGCTACACAAAGCCTTGTCTCAAAAAAAAACAATAAAAAACTAATTTTTATCCTTCTTAATGTCATATACTAAATGGTATCTGTGAAATCACAAGGATAATATCTTAAATTTCAGTACAAGTTAAAACACACAGCATTATCACTACCAGAGAAAGCCACATAAACGTACTTTGAGAAACTGTGTTCCAGCTGATCTAGACAGAAAACCCCTATGGTGCAGTGTAAGAAACAGAGGCATAGAGAAGACAAGCAACCAGCCCTGTGTCACTTACCCAGTAAATAGAGTCAGGGCTGGCATTGAGTATGGCCAGGATGTCTCCAGAGTTTGTTGTTCCCCGTCTCAACTGAGTCCAAGTTTTGTGTGGTGGATTTTATCAGCGTGAAGCTCCTTTTGGGTTCATGAACCCCACAGCCATGACCCCTTCAGGCATCAGGAGCCTCTCTCTGAGTGGATAACTGCCTTATTTTTATTCTGAATGATAATAGGTTAGCCTCTCCTGTCACGGTGGCCTTGGGAACACCACTTTTACTGCTTCTGTCTTACTGCCTGTTCCAAATATCCCCAGGATCATCACAACACACACACACACACACACACACACACACACACACACACACACACGCAGCACACATGATGCACATACATACATACATACATACATACATGCTTGTACACACACAGGGAGGGAAGGAAGCAGAGAGAGAGACAGACAGACAGACAGACAGACAGAGACAGAAACAGAGGTAGAGACACAGAGAGGGAGTCTTCTTCTCTGGTAGTCATGAACATCTCTATTTCTGGCGCTCAACTTCTAGCCCCCCAGGCCTTCACATAAAATCCCTTCCTGTACTGGAGGGTGCAGCAGAGCAGCATGACGACAGGCCAGGCTCTCTGCTCCATTACTAGGTGGCAGTGAACACTCTATCTTGGAAATAGTTTTCATGCAAAAAGGCTTCTGCCACACATAGGCCAAGCCAGATATTAATTACCATGCTCTCTGCTGGAGTAGAGGGTGCCTTAGTGGGCATAGACTACTGCAACAAAACATCAGAGTGTAGATAGCTCAAACAATAGAACTTCATTTCTCTCGAGTCTGATATCAGTGTGCCAACTTGTAAGGCTAGGCGTGGGGTGAGGGGCGTTGTAGACCGGCTCTTCTTTGCTGGTTGAAGCCTATCTGGAGCCCTGCCTTCTGCCCTGGGGTCAAAAGGGATCAACAAATAATCCACAGACAGATGAGGACACCTGGGACAGAAGTACTGAAGCCAGGGCGGTCAATGAGGCTGCAGAAGACAGGGAGCAGGACCACAGGGTGTGTCGGGCTGTCTTACCACACCCTAAGAGACCATCTGTCAGTACAATAGCTTCTGCCAGCAGCACTGAGATCAAAGGCGGGTGCCAGAGCTTTTGTAGCTCATCCTGGAAGCAGACACCCTGCCTCTCGGCAAGCACCACCTCTACCCGAACCAGTATACAAAACCTGGCTTTGGGAGACGCATCTGTTTGGTTTACCCTCCCTCCCTCCTCCTCTCTGTTCTCTGAAGATGATTTAGGATACATGAGGAGGCCACCTCCACCCATGATCTCTTTTGTTCATCACAGGCTGGGAGCTTCTTCCTGCCCATTGTGGAGAAAACTGAGGCTCAAAGATACCCATGCTATTACTATTGGACTAGGGATTCGGGGATACCATGCAGCTACAAAGTCCATTCTTTTTCATGTAGTCAAGCTATCCTTTTACAGCCTATCTCTCTTCTGTCTCACGCAGGTAGACAGTTGGCATGGAACACGGCCATCCCTCTGGTGCTGTTTGTGTGGCTATCATCTGCCTTCTGGGCATCCCTGCCCCTGATAGGCTGGGGCCACTATGACTATGAGCCTTTGGGGACATGCTGTACATTGGACTATTCTAGAGGTGACAGGTGAGGTGGAAGTTGTCACTTTGAGGCACCCTTCCACGGGGATCTTGACTTTAATCTTTTGTGAGAAGGCTGTTCCAGCTGAAAACTACTGGAACAATGTCAACATTTGGGGAAATCCAAAGGAGCATTACACAGCAGGTGGCTGACCTGTATCAGCCCTAACTACCATAGGGCCCCACTACTTTTTGGCCCTCTTCAGCACAGGGAGTTGTCTTGGCTCAGGATGCACTCATTTTGGGAGGCACCCATGCCCTTAGGTCAACATATCCAAAGCACATAAGGGCTTTGCTGGGACCTCCCAGCATAGAGATAGATTTTCCATTTTCTCTCAGTGTCTGCTGTGGGCCAATCCCTGACAAGATAGGATTGAATGCATGCACCATCCACAGCTGTGGAATTTTCCTCTACTACCACACCATCTGCGTGGCTCTGTGGGGAAAGACCTTAGAACATCCTTGAGGGATCAAGCTGGGGACTATTCACATGGCTTCTAGCATGAAACCTCCCACCTCTCCAAAACAGTCACATGGCATTCATGTTTTACAGACAATGCAGACTCATGACACATTTGTCCCTAATAACAGGCTTCTCATGTGAGACTAACCTGCTAACCTGTGTGCTTGCATGGTCCCAATGTCCTGCAGAACATCACCCAACAAGGATTCCTTATACTTCTCCTTGGTGAACAACTAAAATGTGTTCCCTGAGTAACCTCCTCCTCATCAAATCAGGATCTGCCTCCTGGCAACTCCTACTTGTCTCTGGTCATCCTGACACCTCTTCTGGGCCTGAACTGAGACCACAGGTTCTTTTTTTGGTCCCTTTAATGAGTTTCCATTGTTTATTTTTTGAGACATAATCTCAGAATAGCTCAGACTGACCTGGAATTCATTCTATAGTTCAGGCTGGCCTTGGCTTCCCATGTGTGAGTCGCCATACCCATCCCCTTCGTTGATTTCTTAAAGAGACAGCATCCAGTCTCTGTCATCCACAGCTTACTTTAAAATCCTTATGCAAAGCAAGAGACTGACTTGGATATTCTTTCCTCTGGGCCCACTGATGTCTCCAGGATTTAGTGAACATATTTTTCAAATTGAAGAATCCCATCTATCCTCCGCTAACCAACAAGACAGTAAGGCTGAGCATTTGAGCTTGAAGAAATCCTTTCTTCATCTCAGCTCCTGGCTCCCAAAGGCAAGCTTCAGGAGGACCTGTGGCTTCTGAAGGAGAGGTCCTCTGGGTACAGGAGCAGCTACTCTGCCTGCTTGTCTAAAATGGGATGACACCTCTCACTGTCCAGTACAGACGCTGGTGAGCCTGGGCTGTTGGCATCCTGGAGTTGACCTCTGTTTCTCTACCCTCTACCTGTAGAAATTTCATCAGTTTCCTCTTCACCATGGCATTTTTCAACTTCCTTGTACCCCTTTTCGTCACACTCACTTCATACCGGCTCATGGAACACAAACTCTCCAGGAGTGGTCATCCCCAGGTAAGAGGCCAGCTCCTGCAGCAGCAGGGGTCTCTTGATCCTCTTGGAGACTCTGGAAACAAGCATGGCATGGCAGATGTCAGTGTTTTCTGTGTTTGCAAAATTCCTGAGAAAATCCAGTTCCCATAGAGAATTGTTGTTAGAGCTGGACAATGCCTCTCTGTTGCTTAGCTTAGGAAGCAAGGGCCAGAACAAGCCAGATTTACCCAGACCTTGCAACCCTGAGATCCAGGCTCCTGTGTTACATCATGCATGCTGGTACACTCCAGTCTCCCTAGGGATTAGAGCCTTGGCACCAAATTGCAGGACTCTTCAAATGCTGCTTTTTAAATTGCTTTGAAATGTTTAATTTAATCACAGTCACAGGCTATTACCCACCCCATAAAAACCACACCTGCAAGCACATTTGTCTAAGAAAAATGAGGCTTTAAAATAGGACCTCCTGGCCATTTCAGAATTTCTATATTAAAATTCCCTTGCTAGAGATTTTCATTTGACTCTTTTACCTGAAAAAAATTAACAAATGAGTCATAACGAGCAACAAAGGTTGCTTCTAATGAAAGCAAACATTGATATTATAGACATTCTATGTAGTTTCACTTCATCTTTGTGAGTCTTTTCTGATGAACGAAAGCTTTATCCCAGACTGGGCTGAGGTGCAGAGAAGGTAGCTAAATGACTCAGCAAATGCCACACATTTAGTAATAGCAGAGATGGATCAAAACCCAGACCTGGAACAGCTCAAGTTTAGTGCATAAAAATATTCTTCTTATTAAGACAGTCTGCCACTTAAATTTATTACTATGAATTAGGGAACAACATTAAACATTACGTTCATCCGTGGATCTAGCTAGAAGGTCTAGCTTCACTAGAACAAGAATCCTGGCTCCTACCTTGGAGGCTAGCGCACCACCTCCTAGCTTCTCTTCCATATTGCCCACCTCAACACTAAAAAATATTGATTCTTTGAGAATTTCACACAGTGTAGTTTTATCATATTCAACCCCACTCCTTCCCAAAACTCCTCTCAGGTCCACCCCTACTTCATCCCCAGCTCCATGTCCTCAAATTAAATAGCATAACCCACCAACCCCAATTTGTGCTGCCCATAAATTCATACACACCAGACCATCCACTGGAGAATGGCCAGCCAACCTGAGTCCACACCCTTGAAAGCCCTCACGTGTCCATAGCTTCTCAGTTAGTGGTGGAGCTCATGAACATTCCAAAGCACTCCGTGCTAGAATGTTGACTGGCTTGATCTTGTGCAGACAACCGTGGCTTTTCTGAGTTCGTGAGTGCAGCAGTCATGTCATGCCATGAAAATACTGTTACTCCCATCCTCCCTGAGCCTGGGCTTTCGCAGTCTGTGCCCCATCTTCCTCTATAGTTCCAGAGCTGCTCTGTGTGTGTGTGTGTGTGTGTGTGTGTGTGTGTGTGTGTGTGTGTGTGTGATATAGATATGCCATTTGTGGCTGAACACTCCATTGACACATATTCTCTGCACTTGGACCAAATATGAGTATCTGTGTTAGCCACCATCTATTGTGGAAACAAACAAAACACCCTTCTCTAATAAGGACTGAGAGGTGCACTAATGTTTGGGTATAGAAATATAAATGTAGGAAGCAGTTTGATACTTTGTGCATACAACAGAATAATAGTTGTAGGTTCACCCCTGGAGCCTATAAGCTCCTCAACCATAGTTCTATTACTGGATTTACAGTACCATGCATATGTTTCCTCTTGTGCAATGAGCCTTAAGTCCAATCAGAAAGTGGTTGGTTAGCCCTGTAACTTTTGCTCCATCATTGCACCCATGGCCGTATCTTGTCATACCAGTCATTATTATAATTTACAGGGTGCACAGCTGGGTAAGACTGTTAATGACTTTTGTCCCAGCTGCATACCTAGCACCTTCCAGTGCTATGAAAGCTAGTCAGCATGGAGCAGTATCTTAGTTAATATCAACTTGATGTCCCTGTGTGTGGTGACCAACATGTATGACATCTTTATCATTAGAGTCCTGCTATCAAGTTCTCATGGGTAACTAAGAGCAAGGACAATAGCCTGTATTGTTTGGGGGAATCTCCAGGACTCCTATGACCAACTCAAGGGGCTATCTCACACCTAGAACTGGGCTTTTCATTTGGCAAACAATGGTCTCTGGGAGGAGCATAATATCCTATGTTGATTAAAGTCTCTTATCCAAACCAGGCGGTGGTAGTGCACATCTTTAATACCAGTATTTTGGAGGTAGAAGCAGGTGGATCTCTGAGTTCCAGAGCAGTCTGGTCTACAGAGTGAATTCCAGGACGGGCTCCAAAGCTACACAGAGAAACCCTGCCTTGAAAAACCAAAAAAAAGTTTGTTATCTGAATGAAGTTTAAAAATAGTAGTTTTCCATTTGGATTATTCAAACATCTTTAGTGTTAGTAAACCCCACCCCCTTGCCAATTATACTCACTTGTCTTCCTCCTCATTTTTCTCCCCTTTCCCTTCATATTGTTGATGTACTATTAAACCCCTCCCCTTATATCTTTCTCCTCACCTCATCAATGCCCCTTTCCAGTTCCCTATATTCTACAGACACTGCAAATTCAACACACAGATACAAAGATTTGATGCTAAGATCTACATATGAGTGGATCACATATGCGATGCTTGTCTTTCTAGGTCTGGGTCTCACTCAGTATGTTTTTCCATTTCCATCCATTTGCCTGTAAATTTCATTTTTCTTCAAAGCTGAATACAATTCCATTGTCTATTATTATCCACTCTCATTGTTCATTCATCAGTTGATAGACTTCTAGGCTGTTTTCCATATCCTAGAAGTTGTGGATAAAATAGCTATGAATATAGATAAGTATGCATCTCTGTAGGAAGTACAGTCCTTTGGGTATATGCCCAAGAGTGGTATTATTAGGCCATACAGTAGATCTATTTCCAGTTATCTGAGGAACCAACTTACTGGTTCCCATAGTGACTACATCACTTCTCTAATAATGAATGTCATCACAACTAAAATTCTTGGAAGACAAAGGCAGACTAATCTCTGTGATCTCAAGGCCACCCTGGTCTACATGGACATATACACATGGAGATCAGAGAACAACTTGCTGGAGTCATTTCTCTCCTTCCACCATGTGGGTCCCAGGGATTGGAGTCAGATTGTTGAGTTTGGATGTAAGCGCCTGTGTCTGTCTACTCATCCATGTCACTGGTCCTCCCACCCCAACTTTGATCCACATACATGAAGGCTTCATGTTTATTGGGAGTTCCTTCAGCCAGAAGACTACCACCACGATTTCCTCATCTTGATGGTTGGTGTTGAATCATCAGATCTGCTTGCACAAACATTGGTCACCACCCAGAGGCTTAAGGACCCGAGCAAAGCTGGGGGCTTCTGGAGATGGATCTATCTACCACTGAGGTGCTGATTTCCCTCCTAGCCTTAACTTTCCCCAGAAGACCCTCCATCAGTCTTAAGCACATGTTTCTCTCCAGAAGAAGGAAAATTCACAATGAAAAAAAGTTTCCTGGTTCCCATTTGAGGGGCTTTAGGGGAAGGAGTTCATGTGTCTATGAAGATGATAAGCCGATGTTTATTGCCTTCCTCTGCCACTCGTCACCAGTTTTTGAGAAGTCTCTCACTGCACCTGGAGCTTGCTGCTTGGCTAGACTGGGTAACCCATGAGACTCACGTATCTTTCCTGTCTCCACCTCCCAGTGTTGGGATTGCAGGCATGTCCCTCCACGTCTCACTTTTTACATGGATGCTGGGGTCCTATTTAGTCCTCATGCTTGTGCAGCAAGAATTCTACCCACTGAGCTATATCACCAGGGGCACTGCTCAACATACTTCCAAATGTGTCCTCCTCCAATTAAATCTCCTTTGTTAAAGAGTGGCATGTCAATGAAACAGTTGCACCCAAACTTCTCATGTCTCAGAGTACGTGGAGAGAAAGACCATTTTAAACTCATCCTGAAATTAGATATCAAGTCACTAGCATTCTGTGGCTCCAGGAGAACCCTTAGCGTCAAAGCCTTCCCTGCCAGCTCACTCCCTGGTTATACTGATATGGTGAAAAATTTTGAGCCCAGACATGCTGATCTGCAGCTGCTGGTAGGGAGGCCATTCTAGGTCCAAGGGGAACTCAGCCCTGGGTACCCCTGTATACTGTCACAGAGTCAGAGACTCCTGCTAAAGAGCAAAGACCTGGAAGGAAACTCAACTATCCTGCCCCAGTCTCTATCTCCAGGCAACTTAGCAATATCAGACCATTTAAAAGACAAAGAAACTGAGGTCAGGAGGTGATCTTAAATAACAGCCTTACAGCTACATAGCCTTTCAAACCAAAGAGCTCATGTGCTGCCAAGATCTGCTGCTGGTTTGATTCTTTCCTAGAGCCCAATCTGTGCTAGAACCCCTGCTCCTGAAAGGCTGTGGCCACCTAGAGTGAACAGATTCTTCTGATGTTTTTTTCTCCCTAGGTGAATACCACTCTGCCAGGCAGGATGCTGCTGCTGGGCTGGGGTCCCTATGCCCTCCTGTACCTATATGCAGCCATCGCAGATGTGAGCTTCATCTCTCCCAAACTACAGATGGTAAAGAGTCCTCCAAAGTTCAAAGAATCCTCTACACCATCACACCCATCTGCCTCGCTGTACCAAGCCTTCTGGCTTTCCGCTAACTCAGTCACTTGTTCTCTCTCTCTCTCTCTCTCTCTCTCTCTCTCTCTCTCTCTCTCTCTCTCTCTCTCTCTCTCTCTCTCTTCCTTCCTTCCTTCCTTTCTGTCTTCCTTCCTCCCTTCCTTTCTTTCTTTCTTCCTTTCTGTCTTCCTTCCTTTCTTTCTCTCTTTCTTTCTTTCTCCTCCCTCTTTTCAAAGTGCAGCAAATGTTTTTGTTCCACACCCCTCCACCCCGTGGACCACACTGAGATGATAGGGACAGCTAGATACAGAGTGAGCTTGTGCTCTGACACTAGGGACTGTGATTGACACTCAGGCTGGGAGCAGGTGTGTTGGGCTTGGCTAGAATGTGACCAGGGGTTCTGTGACATTCTGCGAACTGTAGACATCTACCAGGAAAGGCTCAGAGACTGAAGAATCAAGCTGGGTACAAATGATTGGCAGGTGCAAGGGTGACGAGTCACAAAGTGGGACTGAGAGTGAAGTACAAACCTCTAAGCATCTTTCATGGTCTTTCCCAACTCAACAGGTGCCTGCCCTCATTGCCAAAGCCATGCCCACAATCAACGCCATCAACTACACCTTGCACAGTGAGATAGTCTGTAGAGGAATCTGGCAGTGCCTATCTCCACAGAAGAGCAGGCAGAAGCAAATCCAGTGAGATTCTTCAAGGGCCTGATCACAGTCAAGCCTACCTCTACAAGTCTGGCTTGAGCCCCTGGCCAAGAAGATGCTCTAGAATACTTCTCAGCAGCCCCAGAGCCATGCCCGACACTTATCCACCAACCCCAAGAGCCGTATTGAGTCCAACACTAGGCTGGACCCAAGTATTCAGATACTAAGTTCCATGGAAGGAGTACCGGTCACAGCCCTCTACACACAGACTAAGAGGTTCTGGAAAAGTAGCTCTTTCCAACATCAGTTATCTGAATCCAGAGTAAAGATGTCATTATGGACTAACAGGAATGCTGTATGATTGAACAAGCTAGCATATATTCACCAAGCACATGAAGTGTTTACTGAAGCAGAACTACTCATATGAACCCTGGCCATGTCCTACATGAACCCAGTCTTACTATAAAAGAAGATAAAGCCCTGGGATTTGTTTTGGGGAACTCATCTGAGGCTGCCAGCCTCAAATAACCCTTCCAAGTTGTAGTGGCATCGGTGACTTATTCTACCCTTGCTCCATGCCCCTTCTTGTGAGATGGGATAAATAGTAATGATGGTTTGACCCTTCAGATTGAAGCGTACCACTCAGGTTAAGTACTTCCTGAGTCAGCCACTAGCCCAGAATTCAAAATGAGCCCGTGGTTGTATGAGATTTGAATTAAAGATTGCTTTAAAATGTTTTGAAACTCATTGTCAATATTTTAAAAATTAAAGCAATTATTTAACTGTGCAGATGTCAAGAAATGTGGACCCACAGCCCTATCTTCCTCTTCACAGTGACAGTTTGCAGAGCTCAGGGTGACTCTGCCCTTTGCCCAGAGCACATATGGTCCTGTTCCAGCTCATATGTTCCCTGCAGAGGCCAGGTGTCTCTGGGTCTGGGACAGTCATGGAGGGCCCTGCGTCACCTGAGGGAGGAAGGGTTGAAGACAGGAGGAACCAGAGGACAAATAGCAAGAGTGGGTGGTGTCAGCTTTGTCCAAATCTCTGGATTCTCACGAGACAGAAAATAGACAAAGGGATCTGCATTCTTGTCCCTACTCAGGGAGAGGCAGGAAGAAGGCAGGCTGGCCAGACTGTGGCCAGGAAAATTTTGAGCATTGCCCTGTGGCTTCCTGGAGAAAGAGGATTGTGCCAGGGCATCTTCCTGCTGACCCAGGCTTGGGGAAGATGGGAGAGGGTGGAGCAGCACCTTGTGGAAATAATGAAAGACCATATAAAGCCATTCACTCCTGAGTCCTCAACACACCCACGCCCTCAACTGCCCTAAGTAAGAACTTCAAAGTCTCCCTCCATCTTTGGGAACTTTTGGTATCTTGAGCCTGCATAGGCTGGGCTTCTCTGCTCTCACCCAGTACCTTTTCCTTGCACTTCGATGGAGTAACTCAGCTGTCTCTGGGTCAGGTGAGACCAAGGAAGGATGCAGCTGGATAGTACTTGAGACCCACCTTGCAGCAAGCCTTTGGCATAGCCCCTAAGCTTGGATGGAAATCAAAAGTGTACCCATGCCAGCACTTGGCCAGGCTTGACGGAAGTCAGAGCGCAGACCCCAAATACCTGGAGCTTCCTCTGCTCATTTTGTTCTGTCCTGCGTTCTCATGGCCTTTAAGCACCACTAAGTTCCTACACTGAGTCTGTACCACTGTTAGAATCAGGAAATCATACTCAAAGGAAGAGGTTATCTGCCTTTGCAGAATGCTCATTTCCTGGCCTGTAGCCTGGGGAAGAGTCTCCACTTCTCCCACAAGTGCCTATGGCATAATTGATCCTTACTTGGGTACTCCTGGGTCTCTTTCCTCCATCCATTCGTATGTGCCCTTAATGTCACCTAACAGCACAGTGTCCTGTTCCCTGCATGACAGCACTAACAATGAGTTTGGAAGGGTGTACCAGCAAGGTGCCATGGCTCACACTACCCATCACTGGCTTAACCATGCTCTGTGAGAGTTCTTGCACCCTCAGAGAACCGAGGCCTTATCACAGCAAGGAGAAGAAGGGCAAAGAGAGAAGGCCCACAGCCTGAGAAGTCAGTAAAGAAGCACGAAGACCAGAGACCATGTGCTGGAACCTCAGCCACAGAACTGAGGCCATCACTGGTTTCCTGTGGAGCCTGCCTAAACTTTTCTTCCAGGCTTACTGGTCTCAGCATACTTTGCTGCACTAAAAGACAGTGCTAACACACAGGCCTCTGGGATGAACTCAGAAAGCAGGGAGACTGCTGGAACCAGACAAACCCCAGGCAGAACATTGCCAACAGCACTTCCATGTTTGTAAGCCAGCATCCACGTAACCCTGTGACCCTGTCTCTGTCTTGTTCATCTCTTCTCTCACATATATTCAATCAACAGCTGTTGTGTGTCTCACACACAGAGAGCATGGTGCCGTGAGCCTGTGCCAGGGTCCTTCTCTGTCACCTCAGGAAGTTTTCTGTTACACTCTACCATGGCATTTGCAAGTAAAAAATGAGGATTCACATTGCTCAGAAGTCAAAGTACAAATTTTTGAACAGTAGGACCCATATCACTGCAATTAGACATAACAAGAATAGGGGATGTAAAGACAATGCTGGTGTTTGATCCAGAGTCTCTTCAAGTCCTTACCACAGAACTAGGCCATTTTCTCACTCCATATGAAATAGTAAATATATACTCTGAGATTCACAGTCAACACAGTTCAAGTCTTCATTTCAAAGGAATTCCAGTGCATTTCCACTTTCAGCCTTATTCTGGATTTTAAAAATTCAGAAGTTTAACCCAAAAAATCTATATGCCACAGTGATTTCTCAATTTTCCTTTAAAGGGTAGTACCATTATGAGAGAGTCTCCATACATGCACTCTTACGCCATGACCAGTGTCTGTCTCTGCTGCCCTCCTGTTGAGTGGCCGTGGGGACAGACAACCCTCTTTGTCCATGTTTTCTGTCTCCTTGATCTCAACGGATTCTGGTCAGGCCAGAGGGCTCTGAGACTGTGAAAAGTTTCTTCCTCAACCAAAATGTTTGGGATGTGCTCACTTATCTCCCAACTTAAAACAAACAAACCGATCAGCCACCACCAATGAAACAAACTAAACCACCCTGGATGAGAAGTCTCCAAGGAAGTGAGGGGACTTGAGAGTGGCACCCTAACGCCACAAAATGGCCCTTGTATAAGAGAGACGGCACAGAGCCTGGCCTCGGGCTGCTCACCAGTCCCCCTCCTATGCACGCAGCAAGGAGGACTGTGTGAGCACACAGTGAACGGCTGCTGTGCACCTCTCCAGAGCACAAGCCCCACCAGACACCACCTCTCGCAGAAACTTGACTTCAGATTTCCAGCATCAGGACCCAGGGAAGAGATGCATGCGTGCTACATGAGCCCCTGCGCCTAGGAGATGTTGTTATAGTGCCTCTCGCAAGCAAATAGTGCTCAATCAAAGCTCATTTAAAATAGATTTGTAGCAGAGGCCAACAAGAGCTTGGAGTGAGGACCCTGGAATGCCCAGGGCCACTCATACAAAATTGAAGTTCATATGATATCCCTCTAATTTAAAATGTGTGAGGCAGGCATGGTGTCACACACCTTTCATTCCAGCACATATGCATATATTCTTTAGGCCAAGCTTAAAAATATATATTTACAATATGAGATATGAAATTTGCCTCCTAAGATCTCTTCAGATTTGAAGTTACTGTGCTTAGTGTGTTTTGACTGACAAATATCAGTCTAGTAGAAGACCATCCCTGACCCATAGCATCTTGCTGGGAAGCATTGCTCTTCCTGCCTTGCCAAAGAAATGTGAGCTATAGTAAGAAATAAACCAGTAAATTGTCTTCAGAGTATCACAGTGTCTTCCCAGTAACAGACCAAAAAATTTCCATGAAACGGTTTTTCAGGGGAAGAGGCTATCCAGATGCTTAGCAAAAACAGCTTCAACTATATGCACTCATATTTCTTCTTAAAGGCAAAAGAGATACTGACTTTTTCCACATATACAGTTATTTATAATTCAGCAGCAAGGAAATTGGTCTGATTCTTACACACACACACACACACACACACACACACACACACACACACACACACACAAACCTTGAGACAAGGTCATATGTAGCCCAGGACTTGAAGTCTCATTCTGGTCCTCCTGCCACCTCACACCGTTTGTGCTGTGCTGGGGATCAAATCCAGGGATTCAGACCTGCTAGGTAAGGACTCCATCAGCTGAGCCCTCAGCTTTCTTATATATAGTTGTTGTTGTGAAATTGGGAGGTCGCTCTCCTTGCGCAAATGCCCGATTCCCATGTCTCCTACCAGAGTAAACACCAATGTTGTCAGTACTGTCTTATGAGCTAATTAACACCTTAAAACTCTAGAACAAAAAAGAAGCAAAAACTCACCTAGGAGGAGTGGACTCCAGGAAATAATCACAATGAGAGCTGAAATCAATAAAGTAGAAACAAAGAAAACAATACAAAGAATCAATGAAACAAAGAATTGGTTCTTTGAAAAAATCAAGAAGATAGACAAACCTTTATCCAACCTAACCAAAAGGCAGAGAGAGAACATGCAAATTAACAAAATCATAAATGAAAAGGGGGACATAACAACAGACACTGGGGAAATCCAGAGAATCAGCAGGTCATACTTTGAAAACCTGTACTCCACAAAATTGGAAAATCTAAAGGAAATGGATGATTTTCTGGATAGATTACCAAAATTAAATCAAGAACAGATAAGCAATTTAAGTAGATCTATAACCCTTAACGAAATAGAAGCCGTCATCTAAAATCTTCCGACCAAAAAAAAGTCCAGGACCAGATGGTTTCAGGACAGAATTCTACCAGAAATTCAAAGAAGAGCTAATACCAATACTCTTCAAATTGTTCTACACAATAGAAGCAGAAGGATCATCGCCAAACTCTTTTATGAGGCTACAGTCACCTTGGTATCCAAACCACACAAAGAAACAACTAAAATAGAGAACTACAGACCAATTTCTCCCATGAATATTGATGTGAAAATAATCAGTAAAATACTGGCAAATCTAATCTAAGAACACACCAGAGAAATCATCCATCATGATCAAGAAGAATTCATCCCAGGGATGGTTCAACATATGAAAATTTATCAATGTAATCCACCATATAAACAAACTGAGAAAGAAAAATCACATGATCATTTCACTAGATGCTGAAAAAGCCTTTGACAAAATTCAACACCTCTTCATGATAAAGGTCTTGGAGAGATCATGGATAACAGGAACATACCTAAACACAATAAAGGCAATATATCACAAACCGACAGCCAACATAAAACTAAATGAAGAGAAACTCAACGTGATTCCTCTAAAATCAGGAACAAGACAAGGTTGTCCACTCTCTCCACATCTCTTCAATATTGCACTTGAAGTTCTAGCTAGAGCAATAAGACAGCAAAATGAGATCAAGGGGATACAAATTGGAAAGGAAGAAGTAAAACTTTCACTATTTGCAGATGATATGATAGTCTAAATAAGTGACCTGAAGAATTCTACCAGGGAACTCCTACAGTTGAGAAACACCTTCAGCAAAGTGGCAGGATACAAGATTAATTAAAAAAACAGTAGCCCTATTATACATAAACAATAAACGGACTGAGACAGAAATCAGAGAAACATCACCCTTTACAATAGCCACAAACAACATAAAATATCTTGGGGTAACTCTAAC